AGCACTGGGTGGTCGCGCGCAGTGAGCAGTCTCACGCAGCGAGCACGTGTAGGCAACGTCCACCGTGGCCTCGACGGCGCCGTCGGCGCCTCGCGCACAGACCAGAGAGCCACGAATGCGGTGCCGCCGCATGGAGCGCCGCGTTTCATGTCTGGCGAGGAGGACCGGGTGCGCCGCCGCCGCCACAACTTGTGCGTGTGCAGCGCTATGCGCGTCGCGGCCAGCTGCACCTGCGCGCGTCGGGCGCGGGAGAGAGTGCGGCCGGTCACACGGCGCTCACACCACGCGCAGGAGCGACCAGCGCACCATCGTTCTCGCCCGGTGGCCACATGTAGGGGCGGTGAGCCTGTGGCGAGAGGCCGCAAAAGTGCGGGGGGGTTCCTCGAGACGGAGTGCTCCGGGAGCGGCCCAATCGGCCTCGGGCTGACCCTTGGGGTGGATCGGGGCGGCACGCCACGCGGCAGCGGGTTCCGGCGCGCCTCGGGCTGTCGCCGGCCCTCAGTTTGACGCTGCGCACCGAGGCGCTCGAACGTGCCTGCGCAAGCCATACAGCGCGCGAGAGCGCGGGAGGAGCGTGGGCAGGGCTGGCGCACATGCTGGCACACCCTGTGCCCGCTCGCGGCGGCGCCAGGAGCGAGTACGGCGGAGATACTGCTGGGTATCCATGGAGACGGCCGCCATGGAATTTATTTATTTCGAAGGCCAAAGGGCGAGGTGCCTCCGGGACGGAGTGCCATGCCTACGGTCGGCATATTACGAGATCCGCTCTTTGAGGCCCTCGGCCGCTCGTACACGGAGGACGAGTTCCAGGAGCTCTGCTTCGAGTTTGGCATCGAGCTGGACGACGTGGAGGAGGAGGAGGACGCGGGAACAAAGACGCGCGGCGCTGCGTCCGGCGAGAAGGTGGTCACCTACAAGATCGAGGTGCCGGCCAACCGGTACGACATCCTGTGCCTCGAAGGGATGAAGCGGGCGCTGCGTGTCTTCCTCGGCCTCGACAGCCCTCCGACGTACACGCTCTCGCCGCCTGAGCCGCAGCTGCGCATCACCGTCGAGCCGCCGGTGCGCGCTCGGCCTCGCCGTCTGTGCAAGCCCAGCCGTTCCCCCGCGCGCGGTGGTCGGCTCCGGTCGGGCTTCCCGGAGCGGCGCGCCGGGTGCCTCCCTCGTGACTGCGCCGTCCGCCCGTC